ATTTCGTTACATTTAAATTAAATTATAATAATAAAGAAATTAAATTAAAGAAATTACACAACAAAACAATAACTTTTAAATAGTTAATTTGATACTAATATCGATATATTTTTTTAACGATTTTAAGATATCTTCGTTTTTATATTTTATTCAAAAATAAAAAGATTATTGTTTTTCTCAAAATCATATAAAATTGTATTATAACATCGACAGGGGACAAGATAAAATGAAATATTAAAATCGAGATATATCTCGTTGCATTGTGCGAGTACAATTCTAGTGTGTGTGTGTGTGTATATATATATATATATATATATATATATGGTATATTTCATATACAACTATGTCTTTTTATACAATCAATGCAATCCAATAAATTGAGATATATTATGGAAATGATAAGAGTTTATTTATTATGATTTAAATATTTATGGAAGATGACTAAGGTTCATTAATTATGATCAATACTTTATATTATGAAACAATTAAAACTTTTATGAAATTACATGTTCATCAAATTAAATGAACGATTGAAATTGAGTTATATTAATTATATAAATATAAAGAGTTGTATAATAACTAACTTATATATATAGTATAAGATATTGATATTGAACATGTTTGCAGAAAAAATAAAAAATAAATATTTTTCAGAATATAGACCTTTAAAAAGATAACTTTTTGGAAAATATGCTTAAAATAATATGAATTAAAAAAAATATAGAATTCAAAAAGTTACCACTCTTGATGCTACGATAAATATCTAAATATCAAATATATGTATATGTCAATTTTTTCCCTAAATAATTTAAGGGTTGCTATTTATAAGCTTTTACTCATATGCACTTAGTTTACCCTTTGCCTCAAAAGAGTATTTATACTAGTAGAACCTCTAAAAATCTTATTTGTTAAATTTTTTATTGACATATTTTATTTACAGTGTTGGAATTTCTAAAAATCTTATTTGTTATATTTTTCTTATTGACATATCATTTTTAGCTCAACAAAATAAGAAACTCAATAAAATTTTAAAATACAAGTTGTTACAAAAAACCTTATTTTTCTGTAATTTTATATATAAATTTAATATATATATATATATATATACACACACACATATTATAAAATTACAAGAAAATCAAATATAAATACAAAAACTTACTAATATAAAGTTTATTTTTAATTTAATCTCATTAATATAAATCTAATAGCATACAAAAAATAATCTAAAGATTAAATTATAATGAGATAATTAAACAATACTTCATTTATAAAAAATGATTTTTAAGAGTTTTTGTCAAATGTATTATAATATAGTATATATATATATATATATTATTTGATAATAGTTAATTTATATTTTGTGTATTACATGCTTTATAAATTTATTAAAAGGAAATAAAATGGTTCATAAATAATAAAAATAATACATAAAATAATAACATAAAAGGCACATAGTAAGGACGAGAACCTATGTCCTATTGTGAAGGTTTTTGTGAAAACCTCACGAAAAACCTTAACATGAATCTTTATTGTGGATGCTCTTACATACCCTCCTATAGGATGCAGTCTTATTGGTACTTGTGATTATTTTGTGGTAAGGATTAAGGGTTCTCAAAAGATTAGTTTCAAATTGAGTATGAAAAATAGAAAATATCAAATTAAAGTAAGGTGGAACTGGTGATGCAACAGTTGAACGTGGTACATGGAAAGATGCAATATTTATTTGATGAGAATGGTCGAAGATTTCTTGATGGTTTCGGAGGGATTGCCACCGTGAATTGTGGTCATTGTCACCCTGATGTGGTCCAAGCCATCGTCAATCAAACCACCACCTTACAACACTCCACCATTCTCTATCTCAATCACTCCATCACTGATTTCGCTGCTGCACTCGCCGCCAAAATGCCTGGCGATCTCAAGGTAGTAATTATTTTTTTGAAAATTCTCATCTTTGTTTGTGTTTTTCAAATTACATTTTCTGTCCCTATGGTTTGTTGAAATTACTATTTTTGTTTCTATGATTTTAAAGCATCTTCAAGAGCTATGTTACAATTTAGTAATTTTTTGTTCTAATAGTTATGGCTAAATTAGAGAGTAAAGGATAAAGAATGTAAAAAATTCTAAATTTACAGAAATCTCAAAGAAATTATTATTTTAATACTTCTCACAAATAAGAGTATTGCAAATAAATGGTTAAAGAGATAAATAATATTTTATTAAATAATATTGAATATTTTAGTAATATTATGATCTTTGAAATAAAATAACTATTAAAGTTGAATCGTAATTCATTGTTTTATTTTATTGTTGTTTTTGTTTAGTTAAAAGGGTAATTGGATTAATCTCAGTGACGAGACAATAATGAATTGCAAATTGCAATGACAAAAACCGGAGTTTACAAGCATCGCTTCAAACCCACGAGGACGTAGTTTTACTCTTAATTTAATCATTCTGTGAATAGGTACAACTATACATATGCATGAAGTACAACTTAACATGCCACTTGTCTAGATTCATTGGACATAACAAATAAATGATTAGACATAAAAAGCAATGTGAAGAAAAACATGAACCCACAAAATGATTAGACATAAAAAGCAAGGATTATATTTGTCACATCTCTGTCTCCTGTCGGTTTATACGATGATTACTAATAACTTCTCATCCTAATTTTAAGTTCATTCAAAGATTATTAATAGTTAGTTATTTGTTCTTTCCTTCTCTCAATTTTATTTTTTATAAACTTTTATGGTTTTAAATTACAAATAGACTAAAATATAGATTAAAGGTTAATATAGTTAATTGACTAGAGATTTGAAAAGAAAGTCACATGTATGTTTCAGTCAATAAATATGAAGTTAAATGTATAATATGCTAAAGATATTGCTTAGTGAAAATCTCTTGAAATAACTTCGAAATCAAAAGGCATCACATGTTGCTCTCACTTGATGATACAGGTGGTGTTTTTTACGAATTCGGGTACCGAGGCAAACGAGCTAGCGATGATGATTGCACGGTTGTATACGGGCTGCCAAGACATCATATCATTGAGGAACGCATACCATGGCAACGCGGCCGGAACTATGGGCGCTACTGCACAGTCTAACTGGAAATTTAACGTTGTTCAGGTAAGGCTTGTCAATTAAACGTAAAAAGTTTAAAACTAATACTACCATAACGTCATATATTGATTATGCATAAAAATGTTAATGACTATTATAATCTAGTTATTGGTTGATAGGATGGCTGCGGGATAAAGAGCTGGTTGTTGGCTGATAATTTGGATGAGAATATGAAATTACCTAAAAATAAAATACAAGGGATATTTATGTAAACCGTAAGGAGTATAATTGGGAAAATTTGAAAAAATAATTTAAAGTAACCATTCAAAAAGTTAGCTTATAAGTTAATTTATGGTTTAAAAACGAGACTTTTTCTGTATGATAAAAAAATAATGTAGCTTATATATGGTTGCCGAACATGATCGATATATTAGAACAAATGTTTTTAGTTCCATACGTTCCAGTAATTCTTGAACCGTCCATCAAATAATTCACATCTAAACACCATGAGCTCGCTATCAGTTTTTAGGTGATCATATTACGTGATGGAAAACATTTCCCAAATTTGTAACGATTTTATAATGTTCGGACATACCAAATGTTACGTTAGCGTGTTTTTTTGGAATGTTTATTTATTTACAACTGACACGACAAATTACATGTCGTTTTCTGATATTCTTCAATTAGGCAACATCTTTATTGTGTTTATAATTGCAAGGAAAATGACAAATTGATGCGTCATCATCCAATAATTCTAGTTTCATAGGGATCATCTACTTCATGCGTCACGTATAGAGACATTACGCATTTTAAATGATATGTATATTATAAAATAATATTAAAAGTATTTAGTATAATTATTTACTTCTATATGAGATATAATGGGTTCATTTGATATTAATTTGTTTCGAGTTCGAATGAAGCCAATAATATTATGTCGTTGTTGAATCACTAGAGTGGGGTACATCACGCGCTAAATCCGGACCCGTACAGAGGAGTATTTGGGTCCGATGGAGAAAAGTATGCCAAAGATGTCGAAGACTTGATCCAATTTGGAACTTCTGGACATGTTGCTGGTTTTATTTTTGAAGCGATTCAGGTGAGGAAATAAATACTTATATGTCGACTCTTTACCGTCTTCTTTACACAAACATACAGATAGATAATTATCTTTACCTATTTCGTATATAATAGGGTGTCGGAGGAATTGTCGAATTAGCTCCAAATTACTTACCTTCAGTTTATAATAGTATCAAGAAAGCGGGAGGACTTGTGATCGCCGATGAGGTTCAGTCTGGATTTGCACGTACAGGAACCAACTTTTGGGGATTCCAAAACCAAGGCATTGTGCCCGATATAGTCACAATGGCAAAGGTATATTATTTTTTACACAGGAACTTATTATCACTGGTGGCACAAAACGAATCACAGTAAAGGGTTGTAAACAGTTTCACAGTAAGAAATACAAGTTAACCACACGGTATGGGACCCTGATGGACCCGTCTTAAATCTGCACGTAAACGAGCTCTTGAGTGATGATAAGATAACTTTTATTGTACCATAACATGAAGCTTATGACTTCACCTAACAGGGTATTGGAAATGGAATTCCCCTTGGTGCGGTGGTGACCACCCCAGAAATTGCAAAAGTCTTAACTCGTCGAAGTTACTTCAACACGTTTGGTGGAAACCCTGTCTGTACTGCCGCAGGTCATGCCGTTCTCAAAGTTATCGAGAAAGAAAAACTTCAAGAGAATGCTCATGTTGTTGGATCCTATATGAAAGAACGTCTCACCGCTCTCAAAGATAAGCACGAAAGTAAGTTCGGATTTTCCTTTTTTAAAGAGGAATTCGTGTATCATGAATTTTTAAGTTCCATTGCATTGCACCAAATAACTAATTTTTATAACACACTGAAGTTATTGGAGATGTCCGAGGACGAGGACTTATACTTGGAGTGGAACTGGTGACGGATCGCAAACTCAAGACTCCAGCAAAAACCGAAATAGTGGAGACGATGGAGATGATGAAAGGTAAATGGTACATTACATTGGCATCTCTGTTTTGATTTCTGTTTATCAACTGTTTACCGTTTTAACAAAACCACAAACCAAAACAGCTGATAGAATTTTTTTATATTTCTTCTTTGTGTTTATAGATTTAGGGGTATTGGTGGGCAAAGGTGGGTTCTATGGAAATGTATTCAGGATCACTCCTCCACTATGTTTCACCAAAGAAGATGCAGGTGTGCTTTTCTTTTACAATTAAACATCGTTGTTTTTCCCTTGTTTTGTTTAACCATCCATAAATTTTTGTTTTCTTTTTCCTTGTAGATTTCCTTGTCGATGCTATGGACCACTCCATGTCGAAGCTATGAAGATCGAGCACCGAAACCGAAAAGCATGGTGTACAAAAACCCGTGGGTGGTACTGGAAACTTCTAGTGGTTTCTATATATATGACATATATTGATCAGCCGTCCATTCTACTCTTATATATTTGGTATAATAAAAGCATTCCCAGTACGGGGAAATACGTGATTGAAATGTGGGTGGATTGATAACATTGTATGGGTCAACAACTCGTTGACTCAATTTGTGTAATACAATATTCCTTTAATATTTACATGTTTCTTAATTTGTAGGAATGAAAAGAAATCATATTGACAACATCCCGTTGTTTGCCTTGTATTTAGGAACTTATCAAGTATCTAACAGATTGCAGGGGGCTGCCCCATCTAGGAGGGTATCCGTATTACCACAAAATTTGAGTGTAATTTTGTTCTAAGGCTGCTACAATTTTGTTTGGTTGTGTGCTTATCAAGTATCCGCCTTTGCCCCTGGGGTTGATGAATCGTTTTTCATATTTTTTTCTTAAAATTTGAGTTTTTAATTACTATTTTTTTACACTTTGTGTAAGCAATTAATTAATGTCACTGTCAGTCGTTAATAGGTAGTTGAAGGCGTAGATCCATTGTATTATAATTATAAATATGTTGTGTGGTGCAATTCCCACTCTTTCCCCTTTCAAGTTCTTTCTCTGATCCATGATATGATATGGTTTCAGAGCTTAGTTTTGCTTGCTAATCCATTGAAATCAGTATCTCGTACTTTATATCGGCTTAATTCATTGAAATTGAGATCGATTCCTGTTCATCTTCAATTTGTGACAAGATGCCTATTATAGTGCAAGTTCCATAGACCACAAAATGATGATCCTCTCTTCATTCATCACTCCGATAACCCTCGATCAATGTTGGTGTCTCAGTTGTTTACATGGCATGGAGCATATCCATTTTCCACCCGCGTTTTCAAGTCATCGCCAATGTAGTAATTGATGATAAAAGTTCAAATTTTGCTTTCTAGAAAGTGTCGTTGATACTCAAGCAAGTAATTGCTATTCTTTTTCTCCTGAATTACATATGTTTGTATTATAGTTTGAGGGGCAACATAAACATATATGTCATGATTTAAAGTTACTCATTAACATCAACAAACTTAATAGACTGAAAGTAAGTTGGGCAAATTAGAATAAGTTCCATTTCACATGCTCGAAATTTAGCTTCACCTTGCTCTGTGCTAGTGCAGTGACATTTAGTAATGAAGGCGATAAAATTCTTCTGTGACCATGTTATGATTCAGAAAACTACCAACTAGAAGATGATTGGCAATTGCATGGGAAAGAGGTTGAGGAACTTTGCATTCCTCAAGTTGAAAACTCAATAAAAACAACGTCTCATGAATTGGGATTTGGAGATGATAATAGGACTGGATAATTTCTTAGGATCGTGTATACCATACTTTGCAGATATAATAATTCATCCCTTATAGCTTTGGGTTCACGAATTTATTGGGATAGCCCTAGAGAAAAGTCTCACTTTTAAAGGTTGTGAAATCGAATACATATAAATAAATACATACTAGTTGTGTACCCGCGCAATGCAACGGGATGTAAAGATTCTATCAAGATACATTCAATTTTTAAATCTCAAATTTTTGCAAGATATCTTTGAGATCTTGATGGTTCACATGTTGTATTAAAGAGTTTCTTGCAATGCAACAGATACAAGAGTCAAGTCCCCAATTTTTTCTACCGTGATTGTGAAAAGGTAATTGGAAAAGTGATCTTTCAATATCATTTACATAACTATATATACAAAGGAGATGCACAATTACAGGAGATAAATAAGGTAAATT